AGACTTACGACTGCAAATGCGCGATCTCTCTGTTGTACCCAGTGGTATTCAGTATATATTTGCCTAGATCAAAGGTATACACTTACCACTTCTTTGACGTGATCAATGATCTTCTCCTCCGGGATCTTGCTGTATTCGGCAAGAATGGTACGCGCGGGCTCTTTGACCTCAGTCAATTCGGGCTCATACCAGCTGAACTGGCGGTTGACGCCATCCTGCGAAGGACTTGCCGCACTTGCGGTTGGTTCGCTCATGGTAATCTGCTGCAAATGGAAAGGGAAAGAAGTGAGATCTACGGTCACGGTTTCTTTCGGGGTTTCGGGCAAGAAGATGAAGACGAGGAAAAGACTGTGGCGGGACCTAACCGTGTGGTGCGGGGCCGCTGCCGTCGGACGTCCGATGCCTTCGGAGTTAAAGTAATGAATTAGTATAGACCAACAGAGGGAATGAGATTCTGTTAATAGATGTTGTATGAGTCTCTAAGTCGCCATCCAAGGACCTATCACAACAGATCGGACATTATTTCACAGAAGGTAAAGCGACAAAGACAGCGCCACACAGCCAACAGGGGAGAAACAAGCTTTCGCCAACCCTTCAGACCTTGGTGTGCAAGGGACTGACCCACTGCTGTCCAACGGCGTCCAGAATGTTCTTCCACCTACAACTGGCATGGCATATGGAGATTTGCTTCAGATATCTGCTCCACTACTTGCATCTAGAGACGGATCAGCCTTTCTACTGCGACCGTGCGTTTCTGCGCTACTTGAGCTAGAAAACTTGGACTCTTAGCTCGACTTTAGCCGAGATGCTCAGATGGCACAATGTCTACCATTCTTATGTGCTACAATCCTTCATTCCTTCTTGATATCACCAGTAATGCTCAGACCGTTTCTCGGCATTTCAAGCTGACTACCGGCATATGTTATCTCCAGCCCTGTACAGAATTCTGAGAATGCGGGCATCCCCGCTTATCGGAGTAGCGGCCGGCGGAGCTGCCCGCTTAGCCGAGCAGAGCTGAATACTGCCCTGAATCCGACCTCCATTTGTTCGAACAGAACATATGCATTAAGAGCTATAACAAGAGTAATACCATATCCTTCCATCCAGCACAACTATAAAATTCTTCAATATCATATAACCGCATCAATCACCCCTTGTATCCCCCGCGGAGCCCTCCGAAGGCCACCAAGGATCGGGGTTATCAAAGGATCTGCATAAGCACCATCTGCACACCATTCCGAATTCAGCGAGGGCCTCGGGGCCGGCAATATTTCATTTGCACATAAATGTCTCCGACCTCGCCTGGACGATCTTTTTTATTTTTCGCACACCACGCTCCATGCAACAATGGTCCGCATATGGCCCAAATCCGCCCATGACCAGCCATCGGACCTGGAAAAAGCGCCTCCCTCGCGCGACCCCGAATACCAGGTGAAATGGGACCCGGATGATCCCTTAAATCCGCAGAATTGGCCAGTGCGCTACAAATGGTGGGTGACGGTGCAACTAGGCATGCTCGCTCTAGCCGGCAGTTTGGGCTCCAGCATCACCACCTCTGCCGATGACACCATCGCCGAGTATATTGGCGTGAGCAGCGAAGTCGCTGTTTTCGATGTGTCCCTGTACATGTGAGTTTCCCCGTCGCAATACTCCCACCCACTCAATCAGCCACTAACCAATCCCAGTCTCGGCTTCGTCCTCGGCCCCATCATTTGGGCCCCCGTCTCCGAAGTCTGGGGTCGGCGTATCAGCATGCTCCCCGCCATATTCTGCCTGGCGATCTTCGACATTGGCACTGCGAACAGTCGCAATGCCCCAGCTATCTTCCTCACGCGCTTCTTCGCCGGCTTCTTTGGCTCCGCGCCCATCAGCAACGTCACCGCCGCGCTGGGTGACATGTGGAGTAAAGAAACGCGCGGCACAGCAGTGAGCATCTACGCAATCGCCGTAAACGGTGGTCCAGATCTAGGTCCCATTATCGGCGCAGCCATCATGGCCAATTCGAATCTCAGCTGGCGATGGACCGCATACATCCACGCGATCTGGGTCTTCGCGACCTTCCTCATGGCCTTTTTCTTCCTCCCGGAACTCTATCCGCTCGTGCTGCTGAAACGCAAAGCGCAAAGCCTCCGTAAATCCACCAATGACAGCCGTTACTGGCATCCCCACGAACACCTGCACCTGTCTGTCCAATCCATCGTCACGAAACAGCTTGCTCGGCCGCTGCGCATGCTCTGCACTGAACCTATCGTCACATGTATCGCTTTCTACGCAGCCTTCGTCTACGCCGTCATGTACCTCACCCTCGAAGTGTTCCCTATCGCATTCGAAGAACTCCGCGGCTGGTCTCCCGTCGTCGGTGCTCTCCCCTTCCTCGCCCTCCTAATCGGTGTTATCCTCTCCACCGGAGTCAACATCTACAACCAGTTCCGCTATAACCGCATCTCCGCGGCCGCGAATGGTGCACCCGTCCCAGAGGCCCGCTTACCTCCCATGATGTTCGGAGGCGTTGTCCTCGTCCTTGGATTATTCTGGTTCGCCTGGACAGCAACACCAGCCTATCACTGGATTTTGCCATGTCTGGCGGCATTCTGCATCGGAGCAGGGTTTAATTGTATTTTCCAGCAATGTTTGAATTTCCTGATCGACGTGTATCGCGTATATGCGGCTAGTTCAACTGCCGCTGTTACCTTCCTGAGAAGTATCATGGCGGCGGGGTTGCCGTTGGCAGCGAAGCCGATGATCAGGGCCCTTGGAATTGGACCCGCGATATCGATTATCGGCGCTGTGGCGGCAGTGTTGTTGCCCGTGCCGTTTTTGTTTGTCAGGTATGGGCCGGCGTTGAGGAGGGCGTCGAAGATGATTGATGGGCAGTGATTCGGCGTCTTTTGGGTGTTGGTTACCGGTTGATCATGTGATATTTGCATCAGCGAAGCGTATAGAATATACTAAATATGACCTGAGATGAATAAAACGTAAAATGTACAGCTAATATCATACAGACACATTGTAAACTAAGTAGTAGACGATTATATCCTCGCCTCCACCACCCCCATCTCCATCCCCTCATTCTCACTCCCCACCCAACACTTCACCAGTCTCAACCCCGCCCTGACAAATAACTGCGCATATTGCCTCTCCGTCCTCTCCGCGCCAGCGAAACTCACCATCATACTTAGATCCCCGATAGCAGCCATCAACCCGCCGCCTGTCTCCGGAATGACCTTCTCCACTATCAATAACACCGACTCCTCATCCATAGCCTCCCGTACTCGACTCAGAATCTTCACTACCTCGTTATCAGGCCAATCGTGCAACACAGTGCGGAGCATGTACACCCTCGCCCCCTTCACCGGCTGCTCGGTGAAGAAATCATACCCTTGGCTCTCTATCACACCATCAGGTATCTCCGCATCAGCGACAACATGCGCCAGATCCTGGAGAATAAGTCGTCCTGGGAGATCAGGGAACGCGGAGTGAAAGGCGAGAAGATCTTGGCCTTGGCCGCCGCCGATATCTACCAACAGTACTGAGTCGGGATCAGGGGATTCCATCTGGAGTTTCTCGGTGACGGGGAACAGATTGAACCATGGTTGTCCGGCTCGACGGATGGGAGATTTCATGACTGTGTTGAAGGAGGACTGGTAGTAAGGTTTTGTGGCTAAGTAGTCGAAGTAGTGGGCGGAGGTGTTTGCGGCGAATTGAAAGGGCGTGTTGGTTAGGGAGTTGGGGTTGGTCCAGTTGTTTTTGGCGAAGTAGTCCGGGAGGTGGGTGAGGAAGGAGTGGAAGTGCGTGCTGGGGCGTGTTAGTTGGTATCAGGATTGTTGGGGAGCAAAGGGGGAGGGGAGCAAGTACAAGTGGATGATTGCTGCTGCGAGTGGAGATGTTGAAGCGTAGGATGAGGACAGGGGAGTAGGTGTGAAGGTGTCGGATGTGTGTTGTTCGAGGGTTCCTATGGCGGAGAGGAAGCGCATGATTCGGGCTGGATGTTTTGTTAGGGTGTGCATGTGCGTCTGATAAAGTGGGAAGGTTGATCATACCGATGAGAACTGGGTCTGCTTTTCTGTCAGTGGCTATCTGGGCTACAGTGACTTTGCCGGTCTCATTCTGAGATGAGTGGTGGATGACTGCGTCGAAGAGCTTAAGGTCGATGGCTAGACGGAGAACCATGGTTTGGTGTTCCTGTTCTCTTATTAGTATCCATAGTTGTAGAGAATTTCAGGAAAGCATACCGTAAACAAAAGCTTGAACGTCTTCTCAAGCGGCGATTCGCACATCGCCTTCAGTCTATCGCTTGCAGACGACAGCTCCGCACGCTGCTGCTCATCTATACTGTTCAGCTCGCCACTGGCGGTGACAGCGTTGATGGACTTGATAAGATCGGAGACGCTCATTTTGCAGAACTTCTGAGAAGATCGTATTAAGTGAAAGGGAAGGTATTAACCTAATATTCCTCTGGTCTGATGATGCGCGTCATCACAGTCTTATATACGAGGAAGCTCGGTAGATCGGTGGACCGTCCCCGAACTAATTTGCCGACCCCGTCCCCGCGCCCGATCTTTATCGCCGTGGGTTCACCGAGGCCGAAGTGTTCTCAAACTCGATTGTAGCTGCTTAACTGCTTCTGTTGAGCATGTGGTGACAGGTCTGGCATCCCTAGTAGTAATTACATTAATGTAGACTTGATTGCGGGGCAGGGATTTGACGTGTCTTCTTTATCATCTACTTCCTGCCTTAGGCAACTAAACATTGGGTTTCGGTCGGTTTCTTGAATACATCGCGTTTTCCATCCTATTCATTCTATACCACCAATCTAGTCTATTCATCTTCTATCATTCTGCCCAATCTAATATGTCCATACCACTCATGCTCATCCTCATCGTATTTATAACACCAAAGTAATATGTATGTTCACGAGAAGAGTTAGAACTTATATTCAAGGCATACCACCCATGCTTGAACAGCGATAGATGAAGTCTTCGAAGGCAAGTCGAATCCACTCAAGCCGAAATAGCTGTGGCCCACTTACTCCTCTTCCGCAGACAAGGACCCCAGAAGGTCAGTACGTAGGGAATGGGTGCAGCCACCGCACTGATGATCCCAAGAACAGTGAGCGTCCAATGAGTGCCAAGATTCGAATACATCGGGATTCCGACCACCGTCATTCCGCCCGCAGCCAGATACCGAACCAGTGCCACGAAGGTCAGTGCAGACGCCGCGTACTGCTGATAGGAGTCTATAATATACATGTAGGCTGAGAGGAAGATACAGATGACTCCGAAACCTACGGCGATCGAGGCGGCTAGGGGAGACCAAATAGCGATGGAAGGCTAAAATTGTTAGTATCCTGTGTCTATAATGTTTGTTGATGTGAAGGGCCACTATATGAGACATACATAGTCAGTCCATCCCATCCAGAAAAGACCGATCGGAATGGCTGGGGCTCCGATTTGCGCGAAGAAGAGACGCGACTCTCTGTCTATCATGCGACCGGAGCCGTCATCACCAGCGTCTCGCAACTGTTTGGCTGTTTTGCGATAAAGGATAGGGACGAGGACCATGCTGGTGAGGATCCCAATGAAAAGTCCCAGAAAGCAAATGTTGGCTAGGCCTTCGTTGATTCCGTATGTATCGGCGAAGATGTAGACATATCTAGGCGGGTTAGTGGGATCCCATGGATCATAATGCAAACTAGTGGAAAGGTGCATACCCGTCCAGGAACGTGAACAGGACAATGTAGACAACTGTCAAGTAAAACGTGAAGAAGATCACGATTGGCTCCATGAGAAGTAGCCAAGGACGAGTGAAGTTCCTCTTCAACACGGGCAGCAGGCTTCCCGATCCCGACGCCTCGCCGGCTGTCTTGAACCGCGCATCTCCGGTCGCTTCGCGGAAGAACTTGGCTTTGTAGTACAGGAGTTGAGGTGCAAAGGTCTCGCGCTTGAAGAGAAAGATGATGCCTATCACCAGACCGTCAAAAATGAGCATGATCCATTCAGCCCACCTCCAACTGATGTGGGGACTGTAACCGATGTATGCTCCGACAACGGGTCCTAATTGATTCGATGATGTTAGTTTCACTGGACACCTACTACGTCCAGTGGTCTGCAGTGGATGTTGCGCGATACACTACATCATACTCACCAAGGATAGGCCCGCCAAACCCGGGGATTGCAAAGATGGGGAACCCGAAGGTTTTCTCCAGCGTACTCCACACGTCGGAAATCGAACCACCCGCAACAGTCAGAGGCGCAGAACCACAGAGTCCCGCGAGGAAGCGGAAGACCAACTGTGACCCGAAATTCGGAGCTAACGCAGCACCGAGAATCCAGGATCCGAAGATAATCAAAGCGCCAATGTAGACGGGGAATCGGCCAACGATTTCAGACATGGGACTGGCAATAAGCGCACCGACTCCGAAGCCAATGAGGTACAGGCCAGTTGCGAGTGATTCGGCGACTTGGGAAACTCCAAAGTGCCGGGAAGCTTCGGTCAGAACGGCGGAATCGATCGCTGATGCCATGGTGGTGACCAAGGCGATCAGGCAGACACACATTGTGGAGGCGACTCGGCGGGCATGCGACCATTCCTGCGGGTTGAAGGGATCGTGGGTTGCCCAAGATACCTCATAGTACTTTTCACCGTTACAATCCGATTTCAAGGAAATTCCAGGGATTTGAGAGGGATCTCTGATCTTACTCGGTGGGTGTCCAAGAGGCTGCGGCGATGCGTGATCAGAGGAAGATGACTCGTGCTGGGCACGACTGGCGTCATCGACCAGCTCGTTCACGTATCGTCGCAAGCCCCGATACTGGTATATGAATGCCATGTTCTTTGGTGTTGACAGCGGTTGGGAGTCGTGTATAAACACGGAGTCCAGTCGAATATAAGGAGGAAAAAATTCCAGAATAGACGCGTTCGTTGAAGTGGAGTGGATTTATAATCCAGAACAGGCTAGATAGGGACTACAGCAGGTCAAGTTGGCAGTGGCCACTGAGAAGAAGCCATTCCCACTTTTCCCGGCCGAAAGCAGAAGATCTGCATGGCGGGTCATTCCGCCCTTTTCGGGCATCGACGAACTGCTCGGGGTAACTTACTCCGCTGTCCTTCCTAATCAGGAAGAGTAGTCCGGCAGCACCCAATCAGCGTAGTCACTGCTCTGACTGCAGTTCGGAGACTTATCGAGCTTACCGATACCTATCTATATCATTTCTTATGATTATCGTACATTTTTATTCAGTCTCCTTGAAATGTGTCGGTACATGCAAGGGCAGGTGCAACCTTCGATCTCTTCAGATAATTAGAATGGGCAGATAACTCATTTAGAGCCCTGGGTGAGGACCTGCTGGTAGAATGCCTTCAACGACCTGCCCTTTGGAAAGTCTGGGAACAGCTTGCAGAATTCTGATATCCGAGATAGTCCGCATACTCTGGGGTATTGTCCCCTCGAATACACCATGATATGCGGTATTAACCCATATTGTAATTGGCAACGTCCATGATATCGACTTTCTGCCCATTCTCCTGCCACCTCTTCCCACACCGTTTGATTATCTCTCTGATCTCTGATTCCGACACCTGTTTGTTCAAGTTAACGCGTCGCTCAAAGGAGCAATCCCATCAGGCGATCCGAGATCAAGCTCATTTGCTTACAAACTCTTTTAGGAGAGTTTCCCCGCTGACCGTTGCCATTGTGTCCCAAATCTCGTTCATACTCAGAACTTCGGTATACGCAAATACACGTCTATTCGAAGTCCGCTCATCCGATATAATCTGCGCGACACATATTCGGTCAGCCCAAATTTCTGATCACCATGACCGACGATCCGATGGTCAATATAATTCGAATGGGCGTGGTCCGACCGACCAGATAGAATCTTGGGTACCCAGACCTGAAACCAACATCCAACGTCGATGAGAGTGTACGGCAGACCCACTCCTTGAATCACGCCCAGGATGTCAAGCTTCTTGTCTTTGATTGTCAATGATCCCTCTGGGTGCCGGTCCCACCCATTCCGAAGGCACGAATCGCTTCACACCTGCTTCTTTGAGGGTGTTGTTGGCTTCGCTATCGGCTGGTGCTTGTCGAGTAAATGATGTGACAGCCTGTCAGACCCATCAGTTAAGATCATGAAACTTTGAGTATGCGGAACAGATATCATACAAACTTGGTCGGTGAGGAAAAGTAGACCGTCTACCACAGACCGGCCTATTTTACCTGTCGCACCTATCACACCCACCGTAATTGGAGTCTCCATTCTTATCGTTAATACAACCCTGTGTAAACGGTCGCAATAGGTGAATCTGTTGCTTTTAAAAGAGATTTCTATATTATAGACGCTACACGTGATCTCCGGACGAAAAGAACTCTATCATGTACTACAGACGAAGGTTGACCACTTCGGACCAAGACTGTGACTGTTGGCAGCAGGCTTCGTCCGAAACAGGGTTCTGGGTCGGGATTCGTCCGAGCTACCCCACATTCCATATGAGATGCCAGACTCATCCCTCCTGAACCATATACTCAGCGATAGATATTAGTTCCTTGCTAATGGTAGTACTACAATAAGAGCCACTGACGACCGGAGGTACTTCTACAGTGTATTATGGCTATTTAGAAGTAAGTGTAGGTAAGTCCGTAGGGTTCTGGACAAGGGATCTTCAACAAGCGCGTCCTATAACACAATAACAGAAATGCCCTGATTCCAGAGATGCAATATCAACTACTGGCCTAGGCCGCTAATACCTTCAAGCTGTAACAGGGCTTCGTTTATATAATGGCATCTTGAACATTCTTCACGCAAGTGTTTGCCACTGTCGGCTCAATGTATACTGCTGGATTTCCTGGAGAATGAGCGCTTTCATGAACGCAGCAGGACGGGCAAAAAAGAATAATACATGATTAAATAGAGAACTAATATGCAAGCGGTTTTTTACTGTTTGTCAGGCTGTCATACTCCAGCGGCCTTTTAGGAAACTTTGGATGCACCATAAGTAGTAACAGTCACCAAATATATATACTGGGTGGCTTTATACGAGGTCAGTACGAGCGAGCTTCAGAAGGCTGTTGCTACAAAGATGTATAACCTATAGTAGTACCAACTTATCCTGCAGGTATCAACATCGTATGTCTCCCCAGTGGACTACGAAATACTGGAGTACTTTGCTGGGCACCGGTGAATATTAAGGAAGAGTCAACCTGACGACTAGTACGGGAAACTCTTCTCTACCACCACAGCGGCAGAAAACCCGGTTCTGACCGCTTCACCTACCGCCTAAAGCGGCAGAACCTAGTCGACCTCGATGAGAAAAGTGCGGATATAAGCGGATATGGACGGATTTGATTTTATACATTCCCGAAAAAATGAGTCAGCATTCTGTATACTCTTTTACCGCCTTCGTGGCAGAGTCGGGCAGAAAAGCCGGTTTGTGACCGCTCAACTTACCGCCCAGTCCGGCAGAACCTAGCAAGCCTCGCTGAGAAAAGTGCGGATATAAGCGGTTATTAAAGGATATACATTTTGTACAGCTCCGAGAAAGTGACCCGGTAATCTGTAAACTTTCTCACCGCCTTCAGACTGGCTGAAGATGGGCAGAATCTGCTCTCTAGATCCATATAGTATCTCTAGAAGAGATAAGCGAAGTAGCCGATTTCTATTTACATTAACTACATCTTAATCTGTCCCTGTTGCGGGCTTGACATTCAACCACTTTGTCCGGGCTATGGTGCTGCTCGGTCGATATCCCTTCTGCAACATCCATCAACTCACCAGCCAAGTTTCTTGGCCTCCTCTCCGCTCACATCGTCAGGAATATCCGTCACATATTGTAGAACTTCTGAAGTCGCTGAGATCCACTCAGGTCGACGCTTGGTCCATACCTCTGCCACCGGCTTGGGGATATCTTCAAAGAGACCGAACATGAGGACTGCTATTGTCAATTTCACCGCCGGAACCATTACAGGTAAAAGGAAAGATAGAGGGAGGACTGACGTGATTTTCCGGGCAAAACAGTCTCACTTCTGTACATAATAGGACTGCACAGAGGTTAGCCAGATAGGAGGCAGAGTATCCCCATGGAGTGAACTGACCATCCACAGTTATAACAGAAATATCGATCCAATGGCCGGCCACAGGCGGTGTTGGTGTCAAGGAATTTCTTGGGACTACCGGTCAAAACCATGTCCTTGTTCTCCACCACGACGACATAGGTGCCGGCTGGAGGACGTTCAAGTTAGAGAATATTCAGGTCTGAAAATAAACGAGAAGAAGAAAAGATTTGATGAATACCGGCACCGCTCTGTTTTCGACAATTCAGGCAGTAGCAGATCATTACGCCGCCCCCAGATGGTGTGGGATTGTCCATGGTGACGCGGATACGGCCGCAGTTACAAGAGCCCTTGACGACCATGATTTGCCAATCCTGATGAATTCGTGGGTAACGGGAATAGAAGGGAATAAGGTACAGGTTGGCGATTATTGGTTTCTGAGATGAGATATCTGACTCTAAGACGACTGGTGCCCGGTTTTATGGCCTTCTGGGCGTACGGCGGTCGCCTAGGATTGGCGATTGCAATAAGTAAACGTCAACAGGAAGGCCCTGTTTGTCCAAGACGAGATAAAGAATACCCTCCTTGGCAATCTAGGGACTATGTTCCAATCATTGTATAGACACTTAGTCTACCTGAAGACGCCCAATAAAGATTCAGCCAGGAAAGGTTAATTTATCCAGAGTCTAAATATTGAACCAATAGCTAGGTCTAATACTACCTTTTAGAATTTATCCCTGTATGACGAATTGTATACAAGTAGGTATTTGATTCCAAGTCCGTAATAATGAGTAATGAAGAAGTCGTGCACAGAGCATATGTACAGCATAGGTTAGGCCGTAAGGATATGCCTGTATAGACACTGCTGAGTTTGATCAGGAATGGTCTCTTCATTTAGGTTTCTGCAGATCCAAGGAATTTCACTACAGGACAAGGTACATTATCTGCAGAGCTGCTCCACTCAATAAGCAGTTGCTTTAAGTCAAGAAGAATGTGCCATTTTGTTGATGGCAAGGGGCGGTCAGACATGCAAGCAAGGGCGGAGAAGTGCATATGCTGGTTCAATCCTCCTGACTATGTGCGCAAGTCCAGACCTTCATGCAACTGCTGCTCCGCCTTGGTCTTACCCAGGCAAGGGGGAATCATTCCGGTAAGGTGATGCAGGGTCACACTATGTCACAAACACCTGTGCGGGAATGATTCCCGTACAGATAGCTATATGCCTTGAATGTAATCATATAGTTGTGTAATAAGTACTGGTATTGTTGGAATAAATCGTCGAAACTCCGGATTCTAGATATATACTTCAAATTACACATATACCATGCGCGAAGTCGTAAGAAGCGACCCTGAGCATCAAAGTCGCTCAGCTTGGGAACGACTGGCCGAAGCAGTGGAGAGACACCCTGACTATTTGGCACTAATCTGCGCGCACCAACGAGCTGGTCTCTACGGGCTCGGAGACAAGAAAGAATATGGTCAATGGAGTTATGGGGAGTTGTATGAAGGGATCACCCGCCTTTCTGCCTCGTTGGAGTTGCTGGGTCTATCGAGTGATTGTCTGCTTTTTGTGATCCTCGGTAACAGTTTGGAGCATGTCCTCACTACCTGGGCTGGATACAGACTTAGCTGCATCCATGTCTCCGTTCATCCCAATACGTTGTCTAACTCGGTGGAAGCCCGCCATGTCGTCCAAACCGTTCTCGATAACCGCCCCAGCCCAAAGGCCGCCGTCTTTGTTCAAGATAAAGCCGCGGCCGAACAATTTGATCAGCTGTTTC